CTATTGCATGTCTGCGAAAACTCACCCAAAACATTTAATTCATGACTTGAAATGTAATGTATGTTCATATACGTGCGACGGGTGTTTTCATACAAAAGACTTTCACAAAGTCTGCACCTGCCTCCTCCTATCCCGCCTATGCTGTAGGTCTATCCATGATGGCGCACTTCTACCGATTTCCAGCTCACTGGCTGGCTGTAAAGAGACTGGCTGCGTTTCACTTCGCTTTTTTGTGCCCTTCCTTCGCTAACTTCCCTCCCTCTCGTTGACTTGGAGGTACGTCATTGATTACGCTGCACGATAAGTCCTTGATCAATTGGAATCCGCTTTGGAGTGTATAGGTATGTTTGGGCTGTTTAAAATAATTTAAAAGTAATTAATATATCGTAGAGTTGTTTGGGGTGTGGGTAAATTAGATATGCGGTGACGTCACAATTGTGTTGCATTGTGGTATGGGGAGGAGCTGCCTCAAGTGTGAAGTAGACTCGCATTTCATAAGTGCTTAGGGAAGTTCGCCAGTGTGTGTCTAAAAGCGAAGTGGAACGCAGCCAATGAAGAAATAGGAAGGACGCATCAAACACACGCCCACATACATGATAAAAATCCTTATTTGCACCATAATTTGCTTTATCATTATGAGTACACCAAGCGAAACAAAAATTAAATTGATTAATGAATGAATTAAAAATAAAAAATGTAAATGTAAAAATAAATACCGATGTTATTTGATTTGAGAACCTGAAAAAAATAAAAAATTTTAATAAAAAATTAAATTACCTAATCCTATATCTATACTATATATATATAAACACACACACACACACACACACACACACACACACACACACACACACACACACACACACACACACACACACACACATATTTCTTGTATGATACATTTTATACATTAAAGTACACAAATCCCCAGCCTAATCTTTCCCACTTAATTTTTCATTATTTAATTTTATATTTTTTTGTCGTTTATTTGAGTATATGAAAATTGAATGATTCTCATTATTTTTGTCTTTAAATTTCGCAATTAATAATAAAGGTATAGAACAAACAATAAAGGGGAGGGTAAAGTCAAACAATAGCTACTTATTTCCTTATTCTGAATCCATAAACCTCAAACACACACAGATCGTTAAATGCTTACAGGCGGTGGCGCTGTTTAGTCGCACAAAAATGTAAGCAAACTCAGCATCTCAATGTGTGTGTTTCAGTACAGTAGATACCAGATGTTGAGACGGGGGTTAAAAAGAAAGGAAATATGCATACAATTGTAATGTTTACAAAAAAAAAGTTGTATCGTTTATATGACTTTTTTTCTTTGCTTAATCTCATTATTATTTATTAATAATAAGCATTCAAATGCGACTAGGCCTATTTCATCAGTCAAATAATGTAATACGTTTTAACATTTAAACGGCAAGCCTTTCATTTATGTGCCATGGATGCCTGTAGTTTGAATGCTCATTCAAAAAACTTACAGTATCTACCACATCTGTAGGCAAGAATAAAAAAAATATTTTATATGAAAACTGTTACAGCCTTCAGTTTGAAATCATTTCAGTTTCGATTTTGAACTATAAAATTGTCATTTGACTTTTTTTTTTTCATTTTATAAAGGAGTATGTGATTATATAAAAGTATGTTACAGCTCAGAAATCTGATAAGACATGATTGTCCTTGTCCTTGCATTATAAAACTAAATTAAACTACTATTAACTGTAGGCTTTTTAATTTTGTACGTCATGACACTTTAATCTAGTTGTTCTTAATGAGTTTAGCTTTAGTGAGTAGAAGAATAATGTTCAAAAAGCTGCAACCAATATGTTTTCCTTTGCATTCTTAAATTTAAATATTTCTTCAGCTTTACTTCCTAAACCCACACACTTACCATTTTATAAAGGAGTATGTGATTATATAAAAGTATGTTACAGCTCAGAAATCTGATAAGACATGATTGTCCTTGTCCTTGCATTATAAAACTAAATTACACTACTATTAACTGTAGGCTTTTTAATTTTGTACGTTTTTTTTTTAGCATTTTAAATGTTATTTCATTTTCACATTTGAACACAATTCAGCTCCATGTGTCTATGCCCTGTCCATGGGAATATTTTCTCCGTTTTACAGACTTCATACACTGCATACATAGTGCATTTTATAATCTTTAGTAAATACCTTTAGTAAGCAATTATCTGGGGGGGGGGGGGGGGGGGCTGGAAGTAGCATCAAATCAAAGAAAGATAACAGCAATGCAGGAGTGGTACATCCATCTTTAACGTGACCTTCTAGTAACCTCACAGTGGTGCTGAAAACAGTGCCATCATTAGCATGAACAGCAGACACTGCCGGACAGAGCATGATTTCAGGGCAAGCTGTCTGCATTAGGAAATTTCTCAGTGAATTCTAATCATGATTGCTGTCATCAAAGAGGAACACTGAGGGGGCAGATGAGTGGAGAGAAGTGAGGTGAATCTGAGCCTTGACATATTCAGTCACACTTGTATAGATTGTTGTCTGACTGCTTGTCAAAGCTGATACAGATACAATGTGTGTCTGTGGTGACTTAAATATTGCATCACAAAAAAAAACTAAGATTACATTTTCCATAATGTGTTAAAAATGTCCACCACAGAAGAAAATTACATCACATGATGCTGGTCACATGGTTTTGTGATAAACCATTTTTTTTAGTTTTCAGGGGGGTGTTTGTTTTGACAGAATTTTTGTTGACATGAGTACAATGAAATATTTTCTTATTTGAAAGATTAATTAATTTAAACTCTGTCTACTTTTCTAATGTATTTAGATAATACATGTTTAAAAATGAATTGAATATAGATAATCTTGTGTTAATGTTTTATTCATTATTTTGAATTCTGTAATTTAAAGAACATAAAGGCAATTTCAAGCAAACCGATAAACAGGGTCCACAAAATATATGTGTGAGATTATAATATGTATTCTCTTAATGGATAAAATCTATTTCTAAATAAAATTGTTAGAAAAAGTATGTCATTATCATCAGTGGACATGAAATGTAACCTCACTTATAAAATGACCCAAATATCAGGTCAGAGCAAGCAGTTTTATTTATTTCTCTCTATCTCTCTTGCTTCTCCAGACTTCCTTGCAGTAAAAGTTCTGCTTTATAGTGTAGTTCTAGATTGTATTGTACACCAAAACAACAATAAACAATTGGCTAATGGACACAGAAACACTGACAATATGTCACATTCTTAAGAAAGAAAAGTTTATTTATTTTGTGATTTATAAACAAAACACATTACCACTTTTCCATCATAATGAAAAAAAAATAATAATAATAAAGAAGAGAAAATAAGAATGGAATGAAGGTCACTAATTCACCATCACATATTGATGAGCAGGTGTACAAAAAAGATGGTTTTACACCAGATGTGCGCCATTCAGTTGAACAGCACAGATCACCTACTGATCACCACCAGACAATAAGAAAGAATGACAGCATGAACGCTCACTAGATACAAGCATACACTACATATATTGTATTTTACATCAGGATGATTTTTCCTGTTTTTTTTATTTTTTATTTCCTTGTCAAAGAAGTGAAAGAGTAGGGATAGAATCATCATACATAATTTAGCTACAATATACAGTGCTAGTTTGATCAGTATGTCAAAGCCAAACACAAACGTTTTTTTGTTGGTTTTGTTTTTTCTCATAAACAAAAATAAAAAGAATAGGATAAAACCAAGAGCTTCAGGGCATCACACTATAGAGCATTTACAAATACCAAGGTTTAGTAACGTCATAACTGTCCACTGTAAGTCGGAGCAGAGGTGTCAGTATGCAAAAGGCTCAGAGACGGTACATACACAAATCGTGTGAATAATGAATAAAAATTATAAACAAAAATAGTAAAATCATAGCCATCTATATCTATATTCATATATATCTCTATATAGTAAGTGTTTTCTTTCTGGTAAGGTCATGCAACAGTCACGTTTGAGTAATTGTGACATCGGTTTGAGACATTTTTGGGTGTGTGGCAACAAGGTAGGCAGGCAAGTGAGGGAACCAATAGCATCAGAACATAGATGTGTCACTGTAATCAGACGCTAGAAGGCATGGGGTGGAGACAACAGTCTTGTCTTTGTAGTGTATTATTGATATCACAGATGAATAACACTTGATTGTTTTTATAACAATGTACATATGATTTGTGTATTTGTTTGAGGGTTAGATACTTTCTTAAAGTGTAAACACTGGATGTGTCTTTGAAAACCTTGCTCTGTTTGTTTGAGCAACCCAATCAGCCTGACACAGCTCAAAACCAATGGCTGGATCTAATAAAGGCAGACGGGGCAAAATTCTGTTTGGTGCTGCTAATGGCACAAACATTACACACTCCACCTTCAACATTGGTTCAAACTGGCAAGCCACTATTTTCACCCCAAAGTTCGTCTCTACTAATCTCCACCCCTTGCCTAAGCCACACATCTGTCTTCACATCTGGGGGGGGGGGGGGGGGGGTTGAGAGTTTGCTCTTGGGGTGTGTTGGTCCTCCAGACAGCAAGCAGAAAGGTGGCGACTAGGTTTCGTGTATGACATACTGAGCTGAGAAAGCAGGCACAAAATTATGGTTGGGATGACAGGGTCAAGGACAGTGGGGAAACTACAGGTATGAGGCAACACCACAGAAAAATTCATGGCATAACCCCTAAGCCTTTTCTACAGAGGATATTTAAGGATAGTTTATGGGATCGAAGGTGTTTAAGGTTTGGTGAATCAACAGTAATACTGTTCATAATGCATAAACATTCTCTCAGTCATCCCTTTAACAACAGAGCACATAACCAGGCTCCTGAAGAGCTGATTTCTAATGAGCTTTACATGATATTGACTTGTGAGCGATCCTGTCCAACCAGGTTAGAAACATTTCAGAGCAGAAGTTTTGGGAGTTGCTATAGAGATGGACTGATTTTTGACCCTGTTTACATTTAACAACAGAGCACATAACCAGGCTCCTGAAGAGCTGATTTCTAATGAGCTTTACATGATATTGACTTGTGAGCGATCCTGTCCAACCAGGTTAGAACATTTCAGAGCAGAAGTTTTGGGAGTTGCTATAGAGATGGACTGATTTTTGACCCTGTTTACTAAATCTGTGTGTCTACATACAGTATGTGTACGTGTGTATATATGGGACTACTTTCTCACGTATATGCTATGCCTTGGAGAACATTTGCTGGTAACAAAATTAAAGCAACAAAACAAAAGAGCATTCCATCACTTGGTGTACTTTTTTTTTTTTAAACACTGTTTTTTTCCCCCTATTTGTCCAGGATTTTAGATTTTTATAATTGAAAATGTTTCAGTGTCTCTTGTTTTAAAGGATGTTTCTTCCATCCCACACCAGGAGAAGTGAACGAGCAAAAGCGTTAATTTAGCGTCTTCACTGCTTTACATACAGCGGTGCCCAAACTGCATATTTACACCAGTGTGTATCCTGCTTCCATAATGTCTAACTTAACTCAATTTTAAATCCCTCTTATTTTTTTCTCCATTTTACCACGATAGCACAAGTGAAGCAGCACACAGCTTACAAACAATCAGATTTTGTCTCCCTATCAAAAAGACTGGAAAACAAAAACCAAGAGTATGAATAAGACAGATGTACCAACATGAGTCTGAAGGACATTTTATGCGGAATAGTGGGTGAGGCATGGGAGAATATTAATCAATCACGTAACAACTCATCAAGACGTGATTAATCAATTTCTTAATTAAAAGGCCGAAAGAGATCGGATGTGACAGAAAATCACTCCAAATTTTTTCAGTTAAATCCAACAGAAAATGTTTGCTTGAGCCCCAAATATGGATTTTAGGATTAATAAAAACATGTTTTGTTCTACAGACTTTCGTTGAGACTTCTGTCTTAGAAAAAAATCAGCTCTTTCTTTAACTCTTTCCTCTGTCGCTCTAATCATCATCATCTTTTCCTTTCTCCCGCTTATCCTTCTTCTCCTTCTTCTTTTTCTTCTTCTTCTTGGCCTCCTCCTTTTTTCCAAAGGTAATAAAGTCGCCCTTGTCATCTCCGTCTTGTCCTTGTCTGATGGAAATAATGGCCGGAGAACCAGGGATGATGAAGGCTTCAGGAGGAACCTCACCGGGTTTCAGATGTGGAGGGCCTCCCGGACCCGGCCCGTATCGAAAATGCCAACTGTTGCTGTCCACTCCAGCACCTAAGGGGGGAGAGACCTCTCCACCCTCATTATCTATGAGAGAAAAAGAGACCATCTATTACAATCTATAATAATATCACATGACAATTAGCAAAAACAGAAATTAAAACAGCATTATTTGACAGTCAATGTGTGTAATGAAAACATTAGGAAAGAATATAATGTACTCATGTAATGTAAATGTGCAATGCAAATGTGCTTATGTCTTTAAATGTAAATTACAGCGATAGCTGGCCTGATCTATGTTTGACATCCCCTGTGCAGTGCTGAAAATCTCTCTCTCTGTCTGATGAGCAAGTAATCTCATTTATAATGACACTGGATCACCACAACATCACTTAATTTAATACAGACACCTTTGGCATCATATCTGTGTGCAAGTCTTTGCACTTTGCCTTTTGTCTATAGCTTATGTTGCGGTGAAGATTAAGATGGATTACAACCTCTGAAACATTGACTATAATATCTGTAAGTGAAAGAAGGTCTGTATTCAGGATTGTTAGTGTGAAATGAGAGAGAGAGAAACAGGCAGCATCCATTATGAGTCCTCAGGGAACTGGCTACCCTTCCAAATCCCTCAGTAACAAAACAACTAAATGCCCAAATGCTTTGTTTTCTCTCTTCTCCCTCTTGCTCATATTCTTTAATCACTTCTAATCTTCCTCTCTCCATGCCCTCCCATTTTGTTTATCTCATCATTCTGACAGCATAAGGCATAAAATTCACTAGTGCTAGGGAGTAACTATCTAAAAGTAGCAATGCTATTAAGTTATCTACATTTACACTGGTTTCAAAACTGTCAAATTAAACATTTCAAAAACTGGGCAGGACTTTGATGGGATAACGTTTTTAAAAATAAGTCATTATTTCTGCATTATTCTACAGACTGCTTTAACTGTTTTAAACTGTGAGTAGCTTGTATCTTTGCAAAATACAGATTCAGAGTAATTTCCCAACACATTTACACTGACAGCAACATCCTCCGCATATCTCCACCTTGCCTTGACCTTTCGTGTAATGCAGTCTTTAAACAGACACACACGTCTGGCTGGCAGATAATGGCAAAGGTTTAATAAGCTGCATGACAAGGGCATGATTATTATGGCCAGTGAAAGATCTAGCTCATAAAAAGATGATGGGGAGAAAATCGAATCATCTCATCATTAAGAAAACAACATGAGTCTGCCGACACCTCCCATCTACTCTCTATATATCTCTGTATCTGCCTCCTTTCTCAAGGAGTGGAGTGCCGTCTTATATAATGCAGAAGAGGAGGTTGAGGAAGGGCAGTCTGAGGATGAAATATGAGCCAAACTCCAATGCTAAACTCCTGAAGGAGCAGATTTCTGAGCACCACTGCAGAGCCAAGGAATTATGGGTTTGTTTAGATGAGACTACACCGCTTTTGAAGCACTATGTGTATGTTTGTGTGCGTGTGTAACAGCAGATGACAGCAGATTTGTGTTTTGCTGCATGAAGCACAGAAAATTGGCTGATTTCACATATAGACAGCTAATCTATAATACGAAATATACATTTCGATTATAGTACATATGTTTTGCAGCTCAATCTATTTACCAATTAAAGTTCACAATTTGTTATTTACTGTCCATGTACAGGTGCATCTCAATAAATTAGAATGTCGTGGAAAAGATCATTTATTTCAGTAATTCAACTCAATTGTGAAACTTGTGTATTAAATAAATTCAATGCACACAGACTGAAGTAGTTTAAATCTTTGGTTCTTTTAATTGTGATGATTTTAGCTCACATTTAAAAAAAAAACCCACCAATTCACTATCTCAACAAATTAGAATACTTCATAAGTATAAATTTTTTAGTGAATTGTTGGCATTGTAGTGAATTTTTTGGTCTCTTGTTTCTCATTTTCCTCTTGACAATACCGTTCAGGTCATGAAAAGGAAAGTTCATGGACCGGATTCGTGACAAGATCCACCTGTATGTAAATTGCATGCTTTCACATTAAATATTTAACAGAAAATTTGATTCACTTTCATTAGTGTGCGAATAATAAAGGATTTGTGGGCATACAATATTAATTAGATATGTGCATGTGGTACTGATTGTCTGTGTACAATAAATATTTCCGTGTGTGTATGTGTATGCAGCACACCTTGGTACGTCAGGCTCTAGTAATCCTGATAACATACTGTATGTGCCAGATGGCACCACAAGCTTTCTTATGAGCCTGCCAAGACTGCAGTGCATGTGTGTGTGTTGTGTGTATTAAGGATAGTTCTGCTCTGTGTAATAAGAGTACTGCATGTTTTGAGAATAATGCTGTAATTTTCAATAACTCTTTTTTCCATTAAAGTCAGGGAAACACACACAAACACATCAATGCACAAGTAAAAGCGTAGACAAAAGCATAAATAAAAGCATAGATGCATAAATCAAACAATCTCAACCTCATGTCTCAAATCCTAAAAAAAAGACATGGAGACAAACACTGACATAGAAAAAAAGAGAGCGATTGTCCTCAGTTTACCCTCTTGAGCTGACTAAAGCCCCTGGCGTGTTCTGGAAAATTCCACTAGACCTACAACACACAAACACACTCGCAGCCTCCTGCACAGTCTCACTGACTGACTAAAGTGAGTGCTAAATCCAAAATTGTAAAATTGCTACAAAATCACTGGAAATCAGTGAGACCTGTTGACATAATTGATTTGTCAGCTATACTAGTTTTTGTCTCTTGATACCTCTGAATGTTGTCTTTATTTACACTCTTTTTGTGTTCAATTTTGAACTAGCTTGTTGTAGATAAAAAAATCATGCATTTTGGCATTTGTGTCAGCTTGTGAGTATGAATGTGCTTTGCATTGAGGGCAAGTGTTTCTATGTGCCATATGGCATTGTAGCTGATATGATAGCCTGTGGGCTGTGCAGGTTGGCCCACCTGTAGAGATGATCTTTAAACAGGCAGATCAGGATAGGTCACACTCATCCACCCATCCATTTATCTCTCCATTCATCCATCTTCAACCAACCTGCTATAACCCAACAATCACATTCACAGTAGAAAAAATATCTTTCTCTCAATTCAAAAAGCTTTACTGAGATGACAAAAGTATTACCGAAGCATTATAAACTCTCATATTTCTCTATTTTCTCATCCATCTGTCCCCATTTCACCTGTCCGTATCCCTCTAAACTTCCTCCTTCCTCTTACATATACAGTTTTATCCATTTGTTTTATTTTATATGGCATTCTGCTATCTTTCTCTCAATTCAAAAAGCTTTACTGAGATGACAAAAGTATTACCGAAGCATTATAAACTCTCATATTTCTCTATTTTCTCATCCATCTGTCCCCATTTCACCTGTCCGTATCCTCTCTAAACTTCCTCCTTCCTCTTACATATACAGTTTTATCCATTTGTTTTATTTTATATGGCATTCTGTTAACTCTCTCATTCAGCCACTCTCCTCTCTTTCTCTCTCCATTTTGCATTTCTCCTTCACTTGTTTCTCTCTCACCCTCCCTCTATTCTTCCAGCACCCTGTTCGTGGTATGAATGGTTGCCGTGGAAACGGCCTCCTTCAGTGAAATCTGGCTGTGGCAGAAACACTGATGGAAACTAATACAGAATGCTCTCTCCCTCTCTCTCTCTCTCTCTCTCTCTCTCCAATGGTCAAATACTTCTCTCCCCTAGCAACAGAAGCAGTCACAGCCCCCTCCTCTCTGCATCTCTGTTTTCTTTCACTCTCCCCCTCGGTCACCTTTTTTCCCCTCATTGTCACTCTCTCTGTCCCTCTTTCCCTCAGGCTGTCTACCTGCCCTCTGCCTCTGTCACACTGTTTCTCTCTTAAACACTCTAACATTTTATCGCATTTCAGAAAAAAACAACGAGACCGAAAATGGGACAGACACAAAAACAAAACGAGAGTGAGACAGAAATGCTTTATCCTATTTTCATTACTTTAATTCTGTAGATCTACGCTTTGGTAGTTTTGCCCATCTGTTTCACACACAACAAAGAGACGGAGAGAGAGACAGGGGCGTTGGCTTCTCCAGTGTTTTGCACGCAAAAGCTAAAATGAAGCTCATTAAAATGCAGAACATAAAACAAACCAGCACTACTTAACACCACCACAGACCAACTGACTGACTGACATTCACATTACCATTTAAACTGCCGATTCCCTTGCTGCTGATAACAAAATTGATGGTGTTGTCTGATTCTAAGTCATATCTTTAGCTGTTCTCATCTTCTGCTGTCGTAAAAGGTTGATTCAGCCAAAAATCTAAATGCCATACTTTACTGATCAAGCTCTCTGTCCGTCTGTCAAGCTCCAAACCTCAGCAAACACAATAAAAGTGGTCCATATGGTATATACACTAAACACTGTAAAAACAAATGATATGATAAATGAATCATGGCAACACGTTTTTTTTTTCATGACTTTGACCGAAAATAATTTAAACAATATCAAATTCATTTTTAAGTTTTATAAGATTCAATTCAATTTTGTTAAGTCACATCAATATAATTTAAGTTGAAATGACTTGTGTACATTCTACAGCTGACTGAGATGTCTTTCATTAACCTCTGTAATTTTTGCAGTATCCTTCAAATTTCATTCAGCCCACATGCATTTTAACATATTTGATGCCAGACATCACTTGTTTTTATTTTTTACATGACTGATAAACATTCTTGAACAGGCTTGAACATGAGTGCATATTATATACAGGCCTAAGGATTACAGCAGTGAGAAACATTTCAGTAAACAATCTCTGTTTTAGTCGGTTTCACCACACAAAGATATCATATAGCTTCAGAAGATATAATATAGGGAAAGTATAGTATGAAATACACTTATAATTTCTTTAAGAAGCTAAATAGACATAATTAAAAGTTTGCTACATTTATTCTTAGCGTTTTATGGAAGAAAGAAAGATGGGAACAATGACATTTGAACATTAAATGATATATATTATTTTCATTTTTGGCTGAACTAATGTTTTAAAAAGCTAAGCAACATCTCAGACTTGGAGGCTTGTGAAAGATCTGCAAACAAGACAGCTGAACACTGAAAGAAAGAAAGAAAGAAAGACGGAGACAGAGAGAAAGCTAAAATCTAAAGAGGCTAATTTCCTTCATTTCCAGACTTTGATTTTGCAGTCATCATCAAAGACTTAATTAGAAACAAATTGCTCTTTCATCACCAGAGTAATTGCACCCGTTTTGTCCTCTCTCCCTCCTTCTCTCCCTTTCATCTTATTGAAATTAAATTACTTTCATTATTTCGAACACCTCCAGAAGTCACATCATCATTCCATCCAACAGGGTCGGGCCTCAACTTAGACATCTGTAACCCTCATGAGTAGTTAATTAGGAAATTAAATATTCATTAATTGTATCTGGGTTCCTACCTATGACCTTGTGACCCAGGAAATGAACCCAAACAGAACGGTAGAGAGGTTTATTGCTGATTTCATCTCATGTATGCACTCTAAAAAATGCTGGGTTGTTTCAACCCAATTTTGGGTAAAATATGGACTAACCCAACTGTTAGGTTAAATTTTGGTTACATTTTTAAATTAACTTTTTAACCCAACAGTTGGGTTAGTCCATATTTGACCCAAAATTGGGTTGAAACAACCCAGCATTTTTTAGAGTGTGTCAAATTGATGGTATTTACAAGAAGATTTCACATAGACGCTGCCACAAGAGCAAGTATGTTTTGATGTAATACTAAAATTCATCACATTTGTGTAACTGGGTGTTTATTTGCTCATCATAATGTTCTACAATAGACCACATCAATATTATATGGCAACAAACACAAGCCTAAAGCATGCCACAATTTGTTATTCTGAGCCTGTTCTTGTTGATTCTGAGTTTTTCCCTGATGGTTGTGGTGATCTGTCTATGGACGTTTAGAGTGTGTGCAGACATCTCTGATTAATAACTGAGATTCTGTCCTCTACAGAAAGACAGGTGATTCTTCAATTATTTGGAGTGCGAGAAAGAGACTAGATGGGCAAAATAGAAATGGAATCTAATATTGTGGATTAATTACCATGAACGGATCTCCACAGTGAGTGAGGGGGAATGTGTGCGTGTTTGTGTTGAAATAGTCTGAGCTGACCATTATTAATATTCATCTCCTAATCGAGTCATCTCTCTGTGCTTTAGCCACACTCTCTCGGTCGCCACTTTGTACTGAGCTTTTGCAGATAACCTCCATATCCCTTCTCACTGTGTCATTTCCTCTTTCAGCTGATAAACTGGATTTATGCTTGATCTGGTCAGAACTGTGGAAATCGGTGTCACTCTCTTCTTCATCACTTAGCTGTGATAGGCCACCTGAGTGAGCTAAACGCATATAATCCAACATTTAACCAGGGGATTCCATTGTAATAAGACTGTGGGAAAATGTACAATATGTATAATAGCAGTTTTAAAGGAAAAGTTCACCCAACAATTTAAATTTTGCATCTTTTACTCACCCTTGTGTTGTTTTAACTTTGTATTGATGTCTTTATTCCATGAAACACAAAATGAGACATGAAACAAAGTCTAAATAAAAATTTTAACTATCTTATTTTTTACACAATGAAAGTGGAGAGTGATATAGTTATATAGTGCTATACCACCAAGCTCCAAAAACAGAAAAAGTGCAATAACAGCAGTTTATCCACTATACATTACCAGAAGACCCCAATTGTATTCCTATAAAACCCCAAATTAATGTCATTATTTACAGATCATTTTTCCCTCCAGTGCAGATCTCAAATTTCAATCCTCACACAAAGCTTTCATATGGTGTATTTATATCAGTGGTGGGCCGTCAGGGCCAGCAAAGCCTTCTCTGCTGCCCTAAACACGATCAGAATCACTGATTTAGCTTTAATATATTTTTCCAAGAATGTGTATTAAATTATTTCCAATAGTCTATTTTCTTCAGTTCATAGCTTTTCTCTTGGTTGCACTGCTTCCAGCAGTGTATGTTTATATTAGAGCTTTTATCCAATCATATTTCAGCAATCGTGTTGCCAGGGTCAAAGAAATCTGCCTTAAGGCCTTCAGAATCCACAGTGCAGGCGTCTGTTAGCTTAAATCAATGGCAATGAAACCGTTGCTTTAACCAATCAGATTTCGAGTTGGCAGCACCAGGGCCATCTAGCTGGCTAACAATAACGTCAGCCTTTTCTCGTCCTTTGATTGGATGGTCAGCATACTAGTTAGCAAACAGCATCACTGTAAATCATTTTATTAAAACTTAGTAAAACTTTTATTACTGTTCCTCAGGTTTAGATTTTCAGTTAATTTTGAAAAAAATATTTGCCTACTATATTTAGTAAATATAAAAACAGCAGTCCTAATGACTGCGGAGAACAACCACACACCTCCTCGGCACCGGCTCTGTGAAAGACTCGTGAAGATTAAAAACCACTAGAGTACGGTAGGTTAATTTTCATTGTTGACTCTTTTATCGCTTGATGCGTTGTATGCTGATGTTATTTGCGTGATATAAAAGCCAGGTTTAAGTTTCCGTAAGAATATCTCAGTTCCCCGAGTGGAGCTGTATGAACAGACCAGCGGGGAGATGAGAGTCACAGAGGTACGTTAAAACACATGTAATCACCTTATTTGTTTTATACCAATGCTATCTGTAAGGTATAAATGCGTTTGGGTGAATAAATGTCTGTAAGACCATCGGATGGACTGTATGTGTGTATTTTGTTAGGTTAATGCTTCAGCTACAGATGATGTGTTGTGCAATTGTTAACTGGGTTTCTTTCTTTAGTAATGGCATTCATTCTCGCTACATAAGATACCTGTCTGTTATGTAGTGCCCTGTTATACTGCATTACTGTGTAATATTTATGGTTTCTATAGCCGTGGCATCATTATGATGGTATGAAGAGATGGATTCATTCATGTAGGACGCCACTGAAGGCCTAGGTGTAAAATGCATGGCCCGCCATTGATTTATATGATGTATCACAATCCACTTTCCAACATGAGGGTGAGCAAATGATGATAAATCTTAATTTTGGCTACATTAGCAATTTTTGAGTGGGTTGCTGCCATTGTGAATTCATATTTACTGTTACTGTTCAACACAAAACAGCGGATTGTGGTATCGCTAATGTATTACAGTGGTTTCTGAGTTGCTCCCTGAACTACTCGGCTAGGTTTCCTAAAGAAGCCTCATGTAGGTCATATTCCTTGTATCCTGCATGACTGCAGCAGCTCGGCTCAGCAAAAGAGGCCATCGCAGAGAAGACTGCAGGGAAAGAAGCATGCAAGTGTAAGAATGATGTGAGACAGAAGAGAGTGATAGTCTAGATTGGGACAGGGGTTGATAGTGATAGATGGTCCTGAGGGGTAATACCAGTGTAACTGTAAAAGACAGTGTTACAGTTCTGCCAGAACACCCAGAGGAAAATTGTATTGCTCAGTGGTTGCTCTAGATCTGAAGACTTAATAAGGGTTTTCAGTTATGTTTCATTTAAGTATCAACCTGGACTAAGATGTTTCTGAAAAAATTCCTTGGGAGAAATAAAAATAAAAAACACATGAGTTGAGTATAGAGCTGTACAATTAATGTGGATAGCAGCTCAGATCATCAGAAATTTCAATTTAGTTAATGCAACGCTTGCCATAGAGAGTTTAGATTCGATATCTTACCAGGAGCGCTAGAGACGGTGGGCCAGTTCTGAACCAGAACTCCTTGAGCACCCTGCATCACAGATGACTCCTCCATATGGACTGAACTACACACAAACAAAGGAGAACGTTTTTCAGATTAAAACAAAACAAAAAAAATCAGTAAACCAACCTTTGATTGAAATAGCATACAATATAACATTGAAATGCTAGGAGCATTGTTAAATTAATACTTGGAAAAGTTTTAGGATTACTACTTCTACTACTACTACTACTACTTAGAAGAAAAAAGAAAAACAAAAAGAAGAAGCAGAAGGATCATAATTCTTGATCCTGCACTATTTATGAGTTTCTTAAATTGAAGAACATATCAAAAACTAAGACGTATGTACATTTTTTCATTACTCAAATGGTCTCAGATCACACTCTATGAGAGATTTGTCTGTAGATAATGTTGTAGGTTATAACAGGACAATGTGTGGTGTGAAAGTAGGGTTTATGTTTGACCTGGGCTGAATGATAAAGCTTGAGTATATGTAGGTCTTCTGTGAGAATTGGAATCTAGAAACTAGGATTAGAGATTAAGGATTAGGCCATGCTCTTCTCTGCAGTCACACTACCTCTGAGATTAATGCTTACACTCCTGTGCACTCAATATTTCACACCAAAGTTTTTCCCTCTCACACACACAAACACAGCTATCATTGTAATTTGTGCAGTTGATCATCCTGCTTCAATTGGAAATACGCTATATTATGGAAGTAAAATTGTGTTGCAAACTCCATTTTATGTTGACTCTACTACATACACCCACCCACGGTTATCTGTCTGCATCGGGAAAAAGCCTTAAAAATCACCAGTGGCAGAAAATCAAACCAAGCAGGTGTGTAGAAAAGGGTGTTATCAATTGCTATGTTCTCTCTGTTGCTCTGTGCGCGGCTGCAAGTGTGTTAAGAAAGGATTAGCTCACTGTGAAACATCACAACATCAACTGTCATAAAAGATTGGGGAGAAATTTATTTCAGAAGGTAGCTGTTGAATGCTTCTGTTGATTTGTATGCTGGACTTAAACTGTCTCTGTAAAATAATACACTTTTTTTAGCTCCTTATACATTATATATGCTAATCGTGGCCACTTATGAAGTGTTTCTTGGAGGTTATAGTACGTTGGAGAATGATCATATGACTTTTTACATACGCCATGTGACCTGTAAATGCGAAAAAGCCGTTTCCATTGCAGTTTTGCGAATTAATCATTTTTCGCATTGCCTGAAAAACCACCTCATGCAAGCGTAAAAACTTTTTTGCGATATATGGCCGTTTTTGCGAAATTGATGCGTTTCCATTAGGCGTATTTTCAATTCGCAATTTCAATTTGCGCAATTTGAAGGGTAATGGAAACGCGCCTACTGTCTGTTGGGAGACCATGACAATAAAGAGTTAGCAGATATTAAGCAAACAGTCTACTAATACTCTGATGAGAGTTAGTACACATGTAGCTGCAACATTACTTACTGTCAACAGAATGTTCAAAAGGGACCATCAAAATAAAGTGTTACCTAATTTTGTATGAACACTAAACTTATAATAATTGACTTGTCCCAGGCAACCTAAACTGTGCTAGTTTCATGACTATCAAATCAATTCACAGCCTCCTCTTCTCACCTAATAAAAATATTTTAAAAAATTATAGTCAAATAAAAAATATTTGAAAAAATATTTCATTCCATTTATTTGTTTGGTAAGTATCTATATAATAAGTGGGGTAACATACAGTCAGCTGGTCATTACCGGATTGATTGATTGATTTGATTGATGCATTTGTTGACTTGTGCAAGGAACAGTTTTGAGGTCGGAAAGATATTTTTAATTTTTAAATGAAGTCTCTTATGCTGACCAAGGCTGCATTTATTTGACTAAAAATAAAAACAGTAAAAACAGTAATATTGTGAAATACAATTACAATTTAACATAACTAATTTTAAAAATAGTTTAAAAATAGTTTTCTAAATGAATATATTTTAAAAATGTAATTTATTTCTGTGATGCAAAACTGAATTTTCAGCATCATTACTCCAGTCTTTAGTGTCACATGATCCTTCAGGAATCATTCTAATATGCTTATTTGCTGCTCAAGAAACATCTCTTATTTTATCAATGTTCAGAACAGTTGTGCTGCTTCATATTATTGTGGAAACTTTTATTTTTTTCAGGATTATTTAAAGTGCCCCTATTATGCCTAATATTGTTTTGGGAGTCTCCTACAATAGGATTACATGCATGCAAGGTCAAAAAACGCTTTCGTTTTCTCAAAATATGTATTTAATATCACCTCATTTTCCAGCAATTCTCAAACGATTCGTTCAAAGCAGTTCTGAGATTCAGTCTCTCCAAAGTCTCTATGATTGGTCTACCACGTACAGCGTGTCTCTGAAACGATACGCCCATTGCCATAGTTCCGTATTTTGAACGCTCTATAGAAAATATAAACATCTATTATTTATCATACTTGTGATTTAGTGGAGCCAGCTGGTCAAAATAAACAGGGTAAAGAGCCATCTTTCAAGAGCAAGCGTTTAGTGAATCCCATGTTGAACTCCCCGAGATTTTTTTTTAACTCCTCGAGATTAGAGAAGCAGTCATCAGTAAAATGACGTGTTTGTGGGCGGGGTCAAGCTGCTCGCTGCCGGCCAACGTAGAACATAGGCGAGAATTTTGCAAATGTTTTACCCCGTGACGTGTAGCCGTCACAGAAGTGGAATTCAAATTACTAACGACTCGTTTAGGCTGTAAAGAGTCGATTCTTTATTTTGGGAGACAATAACTTTATTTATTGTGCACTTTCGGCTTTACAACTTTGCTGATCGTTTACATTCTCGTACAGCTATGCACAGTGCATGAAAAGCAATATTGGAAATGGCATAATATAATAGGGGCACTTTAATAAATAGAAAGTTATTTATATTATTTTATTATTTTAGCATACCAGTCACTAGTTATTTAACTCTTCAATGGATAGATACCAGTTCGATGGATAGATAACTTTCACCAGTTTTTAGCATCACTCTCCATAACAGATCAGAAATGCTTTAAACGTGAATTTTAAAATACAAGAATTAATATGTTCTGACATTCCTAACTATTGCAATCAACCAGTAATCTGTTAAAAACAAATTATCCAATGACAGAAAGCATGCAGAACAGAGGGGGGTGGGTGGAAAACCACCATTTTAGTTGCCCCCTCTCTGTCTTTCTCTGATGAATGTTTGCAGTCCAAGGTCAGGCAGTTACTGCTGCTATTACATGCTGTGTGTGTGTGTGTGTGTGTGTGTGTGTGTGTATACATGTGTGTGGAAGCCATTTTAAAGAGCTGTGAGGCAGCAGTCACTAAGGCTTAATACATTATTAATGAGAAACACTAGACCAAATACATGATCCTCAGCTAATGTTCAAACATCCTCCTTCTCGCTTTCTCCCTGTCTGCCTCTCCTCCCCCTTGTTCATTTCTGCCTGCATATCAATGCTATTGTCTCCTCCATTGATCATTTCTCTGTTTAACATCCAAAAAACTATTTCTGAATAAACCTGTTTGTCTATGGTGTGAAAATGTATTACATTTAGGAGAGTAACAATAAATAAGGTAATGTTTGTCCTTGCAAATCTCATTCTGATTGCCAAGGTGTTGCTAAGGTCTTTTGACTGGCTTTAACACATTGCTATGAGGTTGCTAAGGTGCTGCAGTATTATAATAATTATTGTCTCTGGATATGGCTGGGATCCCTATGGTTCTTAAAACCATTCTGATCACTTAATAAAGTAACAAACTTGCATGTCAAAGAATAATATAGACTTTCAAATTCTAAACTCTAAAAATTAGCAATAGTAAACATTAATAAGAAGCTACTGACTTTACAAAGAAGCTACCAATGAAAGTATAATTGTGACGAATCAAGGTCATAAAACCCTGGAGGAGCAGTAACAGAGGGGTGAGATCAGTTTGAATGAGTCTCCTCAGGGAGAGAGCAACTGAGGCATATCTGCATCCAAAATGCACAAGGTGAGTGATTGTCATGAAACATTCAAGAACATGTCTAGGTCATATTTCACTCCAAAATCAAAAGAACAGAAACCAGACACAGTATCTTGCTTAAGTAAATGAAGCTTATTTTTAGCACAACAAAGACTTTTAACATGATTTTCAGTAATGAGAATATGGAGAAACTGCTTACTTGTCATTTAATGCAAAAAAAAAAATAATGCAAAAAAATAATATGATTTTGGGGTGAATATTTATATTCACCCAGGTGTGGTATTAAATCTCATTTACAACCACTTAAAAATCATGTTGTATTAAAATCACGCAGCAGGACATTTCAGCTTGTTTTGTGCTGCCTGGAGAGTACTAACTTTTAGATACTAAAAAAGCAGGCATGGCATCTGTGCTCCCTATTTTGTCACCCATTTTCTATCTCACAAACATCTCCTGGAGGACATTTATCAATGTGAAATCCAATTTGCAGTGTAATCAGCAGGGCTTGCTTTTCCTCCACACAACATGCAAACGCACACTTCCATCATACAAGTCTGCAAAACAACTACTATACAGACCAGATAGCAGTCATGCCCAAATACATCATATACTAACAATGATGTTCACCCTAGCATGAACCTTTCATTGATGGTGTACAAGCTGTCAAATAAAACATTTTACAAAGAAAGGCTGAATATAAATCAGTTTAAAATCAATGCAACAGGCCCGTAATGACCACATTCCAATGGCCAAACCTCTAATATCAAGGGAAAACCATGTAAATAAAAAAAGGAAAATACAACAACAAAATAACAAGCCCAGAAGGGTTAAAATGCATGTAATCTGATGCACCAATTGTTTTTACAGTAAATAAGCATCTGGAGGAGGAAGACTTTTAAAAGATTCTGAATGAAGAGTACAAGGGTAACATCCTTTGCAGAAATGACAGACAAACAAATATAGTGAATATGGAGACAGAGAGGGTTGCTGAGCAAAGAAACTAGGGATCTGTTTTTTATTCACCTCACATGTTTTTGATTTATCACTGTGTGTATGTGTGTGTGTGAGGAGAAGCAGATA